TCAAGTGTGTCATGTTTTATTCTTCACCCCTCTTGAATTAATCCCATTTTATGTTCAGCCTTTTCCCCCTGAAATTTATGTTTAACTTTCTGTTTAAATGAACCACTAATAACTGGCATCCTGAGTGCTGAAAGACTAGAGTGATTGAGGCTTAAAGAGACTATAGCAGACAGCAGAGAAACAATAAAAAAAAAAGAATTAAAGGTGGGTAGACATAAGGCAATCCAAGAAGACAGTGGAAAGATAAAATACAGACAGACCTGAAAACACTTGTAGTCATCACCTGGACTAATCAGAGAGATTAAATGAGGTGGGTGATATCTGCATCAGCAAACCTGAAGGGCTCTGAATGTTGAAGATGAAGTAAAAAATATCAAAAACATAGACAGCAAAGACACAAGTAACAACATAGTTATGAGATGATGGTCATTGCCCTGCTTGGGCTTATCCAGTCAGAGGTAAACATTAAGGGAGGCGTGGCTCTAAAATGAAGGGCCCAGCAACATATTGATACAACCAACCACTCTCTTATCTTGTAGTCTACAGATAGTGGCTGGTGATATGGACTTGCGACCCAAGGTTATCATTTGTTGTTTGTTTTATACAGATTGTTCTGTGTTGGGGGGGGGGGGGGGGGGGGGGGGGGGAGAGTGCCTGGGGGTTCGTGGCAAAAGCTAATGGAAAATCTTTAGTGCAGGACAGCCTAGCATATGATACCACAACGTCTAGCATGAGAATGGAGGTAGAGGGGGTCACTGCAGCTTTCCAGTGGCTAGAGAACAAGATGCATACATGTAAGGCTGTGGTAGGACCACGTCTAGACACCTGCCTGCTGTCCTGAAGGATTTGGGTTTAAAACCTCTAGGTTGACCCAACCTAAACTGGGTACTAGAAAGCGTCCTGGGACGTAAAATGACCTTTATAATGTTGACCACATCACCCATCAGGTACTGATTCATCATCAGTCAGCTGGTCCTGTACAGAACATCGCTGCCTTCATGGCATGCTTGACAATCTCGCTTTCTCTAGCCAGTTTGCCAGCACTGGGTGCATTGTATCTTCAGTGTCTGTTTCGGTCTTCGCGGTCTTTGCATTGTTTTTGAGAAATGGAACCCTCCATCACCATTCTGTCTAGGCTACCATAACATTAGTATGACCAAAATACCTCAGCTCTTGTAACAGGATGCTGTTTATGAGCCAGTTTTCCTCTATGCTCACATCATGTAGGATGTCATTGTTTTTCTTCTCCTTAGTCCATGGTAGGGGGTCGTTGCAGCACACGGTTGATGTTTGAAACCGGGCGGTTCCCGGGGTTTACTCAGCCTCTAGGTAATGGGTACCAGAGTTAACATGTAAATGGGGTAAATGGAGGAACGTCGCTGTAGCTACAGAGTTGCGTGCGGACGGCGAAGCAGGCAGACAGTTTCTTATCAGCTGTCCGTACTGGTGGCAGAGCACTTATGGTTTATAACCGTGTGCAATGACGCTGGTTCACATCTCCCAACTTTACTTTAGTTCCATGGTATTTTAAGAATTTTTTTAAGCATTTCAGTTTTAAAATCTCAGATTTTTTTCTCTTTAGTGATTGTGTAATGGTCCATTAATTCACATCACAGTGCTGACTGGCCTATACACATAAGAGTTTAGCACCATATTCATGTGGGCCTCTGGTGTCAGAGAGCCACCATGGTGTAGTAGCTGGATGCTCGTCTAAGGATCAGAGGGTTGGGAGTTTGGGTTCTGATGGAGCCACAATTTTTTTTTTAAATGACCTCGGCTCTTAGTTCGAACTAGCCTTGAGTGGGTACCAGGTACAGTCCTGGGAAGTAAAGGCGACTAACGTGATGCTGACTACATCACCCGCCCAATGCCATTTGGTCTATAAAGTATAGGTCCAGCCCTCTACGCCTAGTAGGCCTAAAGGCATGGAAGAAAGGTCCTTGACTTGCTTACTGCTACATCTGGTGTGATAAGGGTCCCTCTCTTTTTCCCTTTAGCCTGCATGGGAATGCCCTGAGTGCTGTGATGTCTATTCTTGACTCAACTCTTTTCCCCTTTAGCCTGCATGGGAATGCCCCAAGTACTGTGATGTCTATTCTTGACTCAACTCAACTCTTTTCCCCTTTAGCCTGCATGGGAATGCCCCAAGTACTGTGATGTCAATTCTTGACTCAGCTCAACTCTTTTCCCCTATGTACATGGGAATGCCCCAAGTACTGTGATGTCAATTCTTGACTCAGCTCAACTCTTTTCCCCTTTAGCCTTCATGGGAATGCCCTGAGTGCTGTGATGTCAATTCTTGACTCAGCTCAACTCTTTTTCCCTTTAGCCTGCATGGGAATGCCCCAAGTACTGTGATGTCAATTCTTGACTCAACTCAACTCTTTTTCCCTTTATATATCTGAGACCTATGCAGATTTTATTTTTACACACCTACAGCTTTAAATTCTAAGTGCTTATTTTGTTATCTGTATCAGTAGCTGTGTATGACAAAATAGGCTATGCTTTAACCTCTTGTGAAATAACGGGCTAGGCTTTGACCTCTAGTAAAATAACAGGCTTGTGACTAATATGTGCATAGGTGTGTTGTTTGATGGGATGAGTTAAGTAGGGATTGTACATTTATCACTGTTTTGATGTCATTTGAACGTAAAAGGTAACCGAAGTTTCCTGTTTGTTGTATTTGTTATTGCAACAGATGTAGGTGAAAGTTACAACTGATAAACACTTGACACCTTTATAAGGAGGGTGTTGCACCATAGTTATCAGTCTGTCTCATCTCTGGGTGAGGGTATAGTTGTGTTGTATTTAGTGCCTTGTTATTTCATTATATTTGTAGTTTGAGACAGTACTACAAATTTACTTTGTAAAGTGGTATTTATCATTGTATATACATTGCAAACTACTATGTATTTTATGTTGGGCTATGTTATTTCATAATATCTTAGTTTGAGACATCACTTAAAGTTTTGTATGAAGAACAACATGACATACCAGTCTCTTATCAACAACAATAAAAGAATAATCAAATCTATGAGAAAGCCACCAAAACCGGCGCAAGACCATAACCATTTAATGGACAGACCAGAGCAAGTTATTATTCTACGCCTGAGAACAGGACACAGTCGACTTAATAGCCACATGTACACACAATTTAAAATCGGTGAATCAGCCATGTGCATATGTGGATTGGCACCTGAGACAACAGATCATGTCCTTCAAGACTACCAAATACAACATATCAAGGCAAAACTTTTTGCTAAGAGAAACATCGGTGCAAACTTTACATGTCGCTGAGTGAATTACATAAGACAGTGAAGTTCATACTAGAGACAATATTGCAGCAGATATAGATAATCTATTTCAAGCGAACGAAAGAAAAAGTAGTATTTATGAAGTAGTATTTATCAGTGTATTTATTATATTTATCTTATCAGGTTTAAGTAAATAAAGGACCCTTTTCTATGCCTTTAGGTCTATTGGGCACACAGGGCTAGACCATTAAATATTTACTTTGAGACAATACATATTTACCTTGCAAAGTAATATTTATTGTTATGTATACCATACAAAGCAACACAGACAATTTGTCATCTACGGCATCAAAAATAGGACTACAGATAAGTTATGAGAAAACAAATATATTACAGATACCAACAACTGATAATGTAGATGTCATGCTAGAGCACAAGCACATAAAAATAACAGACCATAATGTAAGTGACACCTTTGGTAGGAAAGTACACAAGGCGGAAAGCTGGTGAGAGACTGAGTTTCTTTCTGGCAGACTGATGAGAGCGGGGTTCTGCAAAGTAGCTACTAATGATGGGTAAGGTACTAGCAATGTTAAAAGTTAATTGTATGTTCTTTACAAGACTCACAAACCAACCACATAATTTATTGGCCCCTGTGTGGTTTCACTTGGCACTTTTGTACTCATTAATATGCCATTGCTTTCTGAAGATTACCATTGATTTTAAGCCCTCTTTATGTTGGGATTGTGAAACTGCATTCACAGTCTTTAACCACAGATGCTGACTAGTGTTACACTTAGTTTCCTGTTTGGGTCCCAGAACCCTATTTTGGTGGGGGGGGGGGGGGGGAGGGGGGGGGGTGGGTACTCTAACATGCATGTAATAAAAGGCAAATAATTAGAGGTTAACTAAAATTAAATATGTCTAGCTGAACAGCCCAGCATAGATTGCAACCTAGCTGTATACCACAATAAAATGTGCCAACTGTCCCTTTTAGAGCAGACACAGAAGAAAACAATAAATTTAACACCTGATTCCTTATTAATGCACCAACAAATTAATTGCTTTATTTTTTTTCCTTGCAGATGTTTGAGGATGAGAAAATTGAACTCCAGAACTGACATCTGTTGGTTGCATGCATGAGAGAACACACTTCCAGCGAACTATTGTGAAAAGAGATGTTCTAGTTGAAAAGAGATGCTCTAGTATCTGAGAAATACTACGTGAAGTATTTAGCTTGAGAAGCCACGATCCAGTATCCGAGAAATACTGTGTGAAGTATTCAGCTTGAGAAACCACGATCCAGTATCCGAGAAATACTGTGTGAAGTATTTAGCTTGAGAAGCCACGATCCAGTATCGAAGAAATACCGTGTGAAGTATTCAGCTTGAGAAACCACGATCCAGTATCGGAGAAATACTGTGTGAAGTATTCAGCTTGAGAAACCACGATCTAGTATCGGAGAAATACTGTGTGAAGTATTCAGCTTGAGAAGCCATGATCCAGTATCGAAGAAATACTGTGTGAAGTATTCAGCTTGAGAAACCACGATCCAGTATCGGAGAAATACTGTGTGAAGTATTCAGCTTGAGAAACCACGATCCAGTATCGGAGAAATACTGTGTGAAGTATTCAGCTTGAGAAGCCATGATCCAGTATCCGAGAAATACTGTGTGAAGTATTCAGCTTGAGAAACCATGCTCCAATATCCGAGAAATATTGCGTGAAGTATTCAGCTTGAAAAACATGCATCACTCAAACAAGAACCTGGCTGAGACTTGTGGCATCGATATCCAGCCAGATAATACCATTCACGTCCTGCCACTTATTCAAAATCATCATGAAATTGTTGTTACTCCAGCTTCCGTTGAAGAATATCTACACAATTCTGATAACATACCTCAGCTCATAGACAACAGCCATATCGATAATACTGTTCAATACACAAATGCCAGTTCTATTAATGACCAACGAAATAAAACGCTGTTTAACATTCGCTTCACTTCACTGGGCAAACGGTTATCTGACAGAATTGAAAATGAGAATGAAGAGCTTAATGATGCAACAATTGGTGTTTCAAACTCTCAGAATAATGGCGGGAAAAAATCGCGTCAAAATAGTCATGTGACTTTCCAGAATTTTCAAGGAAATACTTTTGAAATTGTGCCACACAGGGCAACGAGGTTTAGTAAATGTTCCAGCAGTTCAGACGTGAACTTGAAAGCATTAGCTTCATGTGATAGTGAAGATGATCAAGAAGACAGTGATAGTTGTGAAGAAAATAATTCTGATTCAGATGTGGAGCAAAGCGTCAATTTTCATCTGGGCAGTGACAGGGTAACAGACGCACTTGGTGAAAATGGCCCAGAAACACAGATGTTTACTGATGGAACCTCTGAACGTTCCAGCCATTTTCTTAATGACAGCAAAGAGAATTCCATTCATGAGGAAAGTCATGTAGGTATTTTATCGCAGAATACAAGTAAGTTGACACCCCTGTTTGACAAAAATATTCGCCTGTCTCATTGGATAGAGGCTAATGATGCATCTTCTAAAAATGGCGACTTTAGCAAGCAGGACGTTCACAAATCAGAATCGACTCAGCTGAAAAGAGCAAAACATAAAAAGTCAAGTGAGCATGTGGAATTTGTGAATATTTCAAATGTCGATAACGGTCTAGCATCAAGTGTTGTGATCAGTGGTAAGTAGTTGTTCTAGGTCTAATACAAATAATGTAAAGAACTTTTTTACTTCATTCTTCTTCGTCTTTGTTCACCAGCTGTAAGCTCCGACGGAAAGTCCTGATTGTTCGTCTGTTTGGACCTTGGCTTTGTGCCAGGGTCCGAGTTTTGCGTGTACATCTGTTTTACCTGCTTATTTGTGTGCGGTTGGTTGTTTTGGGCCAATGCATTCCGACTTTGAAGGAATCTCCCAATTAGTCAAATCTTACGACATGTTTTTTTTTTGGGTAGGCAATTCTCGTTTTTCCCACAATGGGGTCCCGTAAGCCACACAAGGATTTTACTCCATTGAAACATGAAGCAAATATATGATAGTAGATTTATATTTGTTTAGGGCCAGCGGGCACTCAGTGAGTTATGTGGTCGACATTACATCCCTTGCTTTTACTTGCTAGAACATTACCTAGTACCTGTTTAACACTGTCTCAACATGAGCCAAAATAAATTATGTCAAAGTCTGCCTCAGTGTGGATTCAAACTTAGAACCCTCCGGCTGGCAAGTGAGCATCTAGCCAGTAAACTACCACAGCTCCCATTAAGTTTAATACCAAAACCTTAATATATTAGCTCTTTGTACACAATAAAATCAAAAGATGAGGTTCACATTCCAATTTTATTCCACATTCCAGTTTTATTCCACATCCCAATTTTATTCCACATTCCAATTTTATTCCACATCTCAATTTTATTCCACATTCCAATTTTATTCCACATTCCAATTTTATTCCACATTCCAGTTTTATTCCACATCTCAATTTTATTCCACATTCCAATTTTATTCCACATCCCAATTTTATTCCACATTCCAATTTTATTCCACATTCCAATTTTATTCCACATCCCAATTTTATTCCACATTCCAATTTTATTCCACATCCCAATTTTATTCCACATCCCAATTTTATTCCACATCCCAATTTTATTCCACATTCTAGTTTTATTCCACATTCCAATATTATTCCACATCCCAATTTTATTCCACATTCCAATTTTATTCCACATCCCAATTTTATTCCACATTCCAATTTTATTCCACATCCTAATTTTATTCCACATCCCAATTTTATTCCACATTCAAGTTTTATTCCACATTCCAATTTTATTCCACATCCCAATTTTATTCCACATCCCAATTTTATTCCACATCCCAATTTTATTCCACATCCCAATTTTATTCCACATTCTAGTTTTATTCCACATTGTAATTTTATCTCACATTGTAATTTTATCTCACATTCCAGTTTTCTTTCACATTACAGTTTTTTTAACAATACCGTTTTATTCCACTTTTCAATTTTATTCCACTTTCTATTTTTATTCCACATTCTAATTGTATTCCACATTACAAATTTCTTTTACATTACAGTTTTATTCCACATTCCAATTTTATTCTACATTCCAATTTTATTCCATATTCACATTTTACTTCAGATTCCAATTTTATCCCACATTCCGATTTTATCCCACATTCCAATTTTGTTCCATATTCGAGTTATCTTTCACTGTCAGGGGAGTGAGAGGCAAGGTACTAGGGTAGAAAGATCTTTGTGTACTTATGAGATCACCAGGTTCTGTGGACTGCTGCTGCCTCTTCAACACCCTGAGCTGGGATGCCATTACTTCTCTGTTAGGTTAGTTGCGTATCCTTAACAGGACGTTGCAGAACCAACCCCATTAGCCCCTGGCAGTTTGTGTGGTTTTTCTAGGCAAATTTACGTCCATTAGTTTGCCATTGCTTTCTTGACGGTCGGCTTTCTTGATACCACTATCAAAACCAGCGCGAGGCGCATGGCCCGCAACTGGGATCGAACCCAGCATTACAAAGCATTCGCATCGACTTCGCCACAGAGCCGACTGACTTCTCTGTAGGTGTAGAAATGAATTCAATAAGTGCTGCTAAATAGTTGATCACAAGGGGAGAGAAAGAACAAAAAAATAAAAACTTAAAACAGTGGACAAGTAAAGTAAAGCAAAGGACCCTTTTCCAGGCCTTTCATGCGTATTGGGTATATACGGCTAGACTTATATTTTACAGGCCAAACGGAACTTGGTGGATGATGTGGTCAGCATCACATTGGTCACCTTTACTTCCAAGGACTACCTGGTAACCCACTTAAGGCTGGGTCAACCTGGGAGTCAAGGACATTTTTGGAAAAAGTCCGGCCACCATCAGGAACTGAAACCATGACCTACTGATACGTAGGCGAGAGTCTAGCCGCTAGACCATGGGGGCTTCCGGACAGTGGACAAGCAACTAGAAAATTGAATTGAGCCTCTGGGAATGTTGATATTCAGAAAAGTGGGCCACATTTCATGGAAACCAAAAAAAAACACAAAGGTTCTGGATATGATGGAAAAAAGCATTACTAAAAGAAATAAGAGAGACAATTGAAATATTTTGGCCACCTTAGAAGACAGTCTTTTTAAAACCATACTAGAGTGAAAAGTTAAAAACAAGAGGTAGACAGTGATACAGGTGGGAGGACAACATCATGCTCTCTCTCTCTCTCTCTCTCTCTCTCTCTCTCTCTCTCTCTCTCTCTCTCTCTCTCTCTCTCTCTCTCCCCCTCCCTCCCCCCCCCCCTCTCTCTCTATCTCTCTCTCTCTCTCTTTTTCTCAATGTGTCTCACAAACACACACACATGCGCATGTGCACATACACACACATACATAAATACATATGTATGTATGAATATATATATATATAATTTTTACTTCTACTTTCACTTGATCCAATAACTCTCGCTAACTGATTCAGGCAGTTGGATTGCATCTGCTATATTACATCTGCAGGGACTGAACCAATCTTGTCTTTTTTTCCTACATGGTTTCTGTCCAATGACCAAGATCTGACACCTTATCTTGGCTCAGTTGCCTACTGTCTTTGTGTATCATGTCTTGTACACATGCTTGATACTTTCTGTGTGGTTCTGTGTGGCGTGACCTTTACCTCAAACAGGGTCATAACATTCACCTTAAAGTTTTATTCCACATTCCAACAGTCTTAGACTCATGGCCACCATATTTTTTTTATCTTTAGGCTTCCACACTAGAGGCCTTTCTTCTGCTTTTTGTTCTCCTAGTGAAACTTTGTCTCTCAGGCTGTTCTTTCTTTTGTATCTCCTGCAGGTCACTGTAAGCTCATGACTTCCTCTAACTCTTTTGCACCGTAGGTTCCAGTATAAGGATATTACAGTTATACTAATCATGTTTTTTCTCTGTGTGTGTGTGTCCTGTTTAGCTTTAGCTTCATTTACTTAGTTCTTGGTGCTCTGGAATATGCAGTTTTCTTTTTGAGCTGCTTGTTAATGTTAATACATTTGTCAGTCAGTTGTATTCTTTCTGTTCTGCACAGAAACCAGTTAATATAATAATAGTTTATTAACTCTTTCACTATCAAATAACCATGCATTTGTTGGTTTACATTTTACATTTTTTTGAACACTTTCAGTCCCTAGCAACACCTGGTGTGTAAATGCCTTTACCCCTTGATTTCATTCCCTGGCAAATTGTGCTAATTTTTTTTTATATTTGGTCAGAACAGCCTAACAAAATCTGGCTTCCCAACTTGGTCATTACTGCTGTCTATATTGCCACTTTGAATGTAATTAATTCATGATTTTTCATCATGATGTTTTCCTGACTTCATATATATCCCATTAAACATTGTGGTACCAAAAAAAAGTTAACGTCTTATGCTGCATCCAGTTGTTAAATAAACCCACCTTGCTCCATTTGATACTGAATACAGGGCTATTCAACTAGATTTACTCAGGGGGTTTACTCAGGTTTGTGAGAATATTCATTTTTCAACGAGTACAAAATAACCACTGTCGGTTTGCTGGACCAGTCACAGTCACATTAGAGTTAAAAATTCTAAGTTTGATACTCCGTTTAATTTCTTTTAGTTTCTATAGATTCCAGAGGCCCATAGAAAGACCTACTAAGATAATATTAAACTATCAATTTACTTGTCTTGACAGTTACATGAATAGAGCAAACACTATCTACCCCACTTTAGCATAGCTGCCTTAAGAGAAGATATTAGCTTGTTTGACTTTTATCAAACATGTACATGGCCCACATTCTAGCCATTTCAAGACAAGAGCAAATAGCTGAGAAATATCTAGTGGCCCCATGTCACACTTTCTTAAGGGCCGAATGTATCTTTAAGTTGTTTTGTTTGCTTTGGCAGGTATGCAGGGTGGCTTATCTGTCAGGGTGTGTTTGTACTTCAACAGGAACTTTTGTCCATGTAACCTTCACTTGTTTGTAAATCAACAGGCACTCTTCTTCTTGTTACATGTTAATTGTTTGTACTTCAGCAAATACTGTTGATCATGTAATTGTTACTTGTTTGTACTACAGTGGACACCTTTGTTGATGTAAGTGTTTTTTGTTTGTACTACAGCAAACATCTGTATTCATTTGACTGTTACTTCTTGGTACTACAGCTGACACTTTTGTTCATGTAACTGTTACTTGTTTCTACTCCGGCTTACACTTTTGATTATGTAACTGTTACTTGTTTGTACTCCAGCCTACACTTTTGATTATGTAACTGTTACTTGTTTGTACTCCAGCCTAAACTTTTGATTATGTAACTGTTATTTTGTTTGTACTTCAGCAGACACTTTTGTTCATATAACTGTTATTTATGTTTTCTTCAGCAGACACTTTTGTTCATATAACTGTTATTTATGTTTTCTTCAGCAGACACTTTTGTTCATATAACTGTTATTTATGTTTTCTTCAGCAGACACTTTTGTTCATATAACTGTTATTTATGTTTTCTTCAGCAGACACTTTTGTTCATATAACTGTTATTAATGTTTTCTTCAGCAGACACTTTTGTTCATATAACTGTTATTAATGTTTTCTTCAGCAGACACTTTTGTTCATATAACTGTTATTTATGTTTTTTTCAGCAGACACTTTTGTTCATATAACTGTTATTTATATATAGTCCAGCAGACACTTTTTTTAATGAAAATTTTACTTGTGTCTACTACAGCAGACACTTTTGTTCATGAAAATTTTACTTGTGTCTGCTACAGCAGACAATTTTATTCACGTAACTGTTACTTGTGTCTACTACAGCAGACACTTTTGTTCATGAAAATGTTACTTGTGTCTACTACAGCAGACACTTTTGTTCATGAAAATGTTACTTGTGTCTACTACAGCAGACACTTTTGTTCATGAAAATGTTACTTGTGTCTACTATGTGAGTTTTTTTGTGTGACTCTACAGCAATTAAACAGTTTGGTTCTGTGCACTGAACCCTTTGTCTTTACATCGAAGTTAGACTGCAGTATGTCAGTATTTTGTGTTATAGGTACCAATTACCTGTATATGATGGCAGATATACCTGTCGTCAGGTAGTTGTAGTTGTTTGTTAAAAGTACCCCCCCCCTGTATATGATGGCAGATATACCTGTTTCATGTATTGTATTTGTTTGTTAAAAACACAGACAGACAGATGGAGGATAGCTGGATGGATAAGTGGGAGGATGCATGGATGGAGGTGAAGGGGTGGCTGGGGAAAGGGGGGGGGAAGAGTCTATCTTCACATAATTGAATCACAAACCTTAACCTCCTTCCTACGCACACAGTCCCCTGCCTGTTATTTTTTGTGTATCTACCTGAGATAAAGATCTTATATGTCAAGTGTCTAATCAGAGAGAAATAGTAAAATAGATAATACTAAACTGATCATGTTTGCCCATAGCTATATAGCTATCATCATTTATAGGCTGTTTGTCTGAAACATTCTGTTTTGTATTATAATCATTATGGTTATAATCATCACTCTGCATGTCAGATCATCATCGTTTTATGCATCAAATAATCACACAGCACACACATTTCAGTTATGTCCAATTTTTGAAAATGTATGCATGTACAGTATTGCAAAAATCCGGAACTTGGACGTGCTGTTGACATGGGCTCCATTTGAAATAATACTGTGTCAGTAGAAAAGTTAATCCTGCTTGTCAAAAGATTCACAGAAAATGTTTTTTTTTTTAAAACTTAGCACACACACACACATGCACGCTCACACACACACTGTCCTTTCCCTCCCTCTCTCTGTCTGTCTTTGTGTGTACATATGTAAAAAAACGCACAGAAAAAATACATTGCACAATTTATTGCCTGGCACATTTTTCTGTGTCTCGTCAGGTGCATTGCTGAAGAGTTTAATCAAAATATAATGAAGCACAAAAATGAATCCTTTTCGCTGAAATACAAAAATAACTTTGTCGTTGTCATCAAGTTGTACATCTCTCCACTGGAAATTCAAGATAAACCGCGTGATTATCATTGTAACTTTAAATTTATCACAGATCATTTTGTTTTCAGAAAACTGGAGAGTTGTTTTTATTGATATGTCTTGGCCAGTTTAGTAATCGTCTGTTCCCTGTGTGATGAATAATTGTGAAGGCATAATCTTTATCAACTACTGAGGCTGAATCAATAAATGAACCCTCCAGTTTTATGTATACAAAAAAGATTACATGATAAATTTGAAGTTACCATGGTAATTACGTGGCTGATTTTGAACTTCCAATGTAAGAATGTACAACTTAACAATGACAATGTGATTTTGTATTTTGCAAAAATGATTCATTTTTGTGTATTGTTATTTGTTGAATTAACAAAGTAGTGATAAACCTGACGAGAGACAGCAAAATATTCCTGGCAATAAATTTGTGCAATATATTGTTTGTGTCCACATTATTTAAATTTACAACAGGAAAATATTGTTTTGGACACATGTATACATATTTCTACAGGCAAAACTACATGTCAGCCAAAATTATCTTCTTCTTTTTCACGTTCATCAGCTGTACACTCTGGCGGAAAGTTCTGGTTCTCATTCCACTTCTTAACTGCAGTCCTGCTCCAGAACCTGAGTGTTGTGTGTGCATCAGTTTTACCGATCTGATTCACTTGAATGCAGACTGTTGGTTCCTTACCTCTCAGGAAGACGCACTCCGACTTTAAAGGAAGCTCCCCAATTAGTCTACATGCTTTTGGGTAGGCAGTGGGGCCATTCCTGTTTTCCCCATCATGGGGCCCCGGAACCCACAGAGGGAAGCCAATTTATCTACAGTAAAGAAATGATGTCACAAATATAGAATACTTAAGTTTTATAACAAACAGTAGTTGGGACTCTTTCAATGAAGGCCGGTACTGGCCAAAACGGTGCAGAGGTTAAACTGTATTAACCCTTTAAACCTGTAAGAATCCTTAAAAAAAAAAATTTCAACAATTTTAATTTAAAAAAACATTATGCATGGTGTGTTTGTGTGTTTATTCCTTGTGTCTCCTAAACATTCTGTTGTGCATCTTCTTACATATTATGATTAGTCACAGCATACACAAAAAACCTGTCTGCCCTAGTGACAACTTCCATTCCTTTCTCATTCATACAGCATTAATTGGTTTTAGTTCCACTTTTTCCAGTGAAAAAAAAAATGACAAATAATGTTATGTATAAAAACCTCCTAGGACTATATAGTTAACCAATAGAATGACGTTTTATCCAGTTTTGCAGAGTGTTGTAAGTTTAAAGAATTTATATCAAGTTTCTGATAATTTTGTTGTGCTTTAAATGTCACAAAGGGCTCGCAGTTTGGCCTCCCATTCCATTCTGTCCTGTGAAATGCTAGCATGTGAGATTCTTTAGCCCAATCATATTTACAAGGTGGGATAGCTGGCTTCACTCATGACCTTCCTCTTTTCTCATCCAGGCTTGGGACTGGCAAGTGCAGATATGTATCAGTTTGAGCAGCCTTTTCATCCAGTTTAATAATTTGTTGAGTTTATTTTTTTTTTCTTAAATTTTATATTAGAGGTGTCTAAGGAGACAGACCAGCTGCCAGATGTGGTGTTGGTACCGTCAGTTATTACTGTTGTAGAAGTTGAAAAAGAGCCAGTGAAATCCAGCAGTGAAAAGTCATTGTTAAATGGCTCAGTCAAGACAGCAGCACACCAACTTCAGAATGTTGCTTTCACTGAATTTGTCGACATTGATGACTTTCAGGCTTCAGTCAGGAGCGAGATCTCACATGCGGGTATGTCCTTGTAATGTGTGTGTGGTCACTAGGTGGGGTCTCCGTGGCGAAATGGTCAAGCCATTTGTCTCGCGCTGTGAAGGTTGTGTATGTATAACTGTACGTCTGTGTCTCTTCTTTCTCTCCTCTATCTCCTATAAGTGCACATGAAGTATGCACTTGAAATTAGTATATCTTGCACAGGAGGAGCAGCTGGCTTAGTTGACGATATGCTTTGCTCTGATGAGGGAGACTCGTGTTCAGTCCTCGGAAAGGGGGGATGATTATTTATGTCGGGGACATATGAAAATCGTCACTTGCACAGTTTGTTTTGTCTGCACATTCCATGCAGCCCTAAATCTTCAGGCCCATGTCCCCTACCCCCACCTAAACCATTAAAAGTGGTGCAAACAGGTAGTAAAGACAGCTAACATAATTATGTACATGTTTTTGTGTTTGTATATGTGAATGAAGAATGTTTAAAATACTTTGAACAGCTAAAAAGAGCAACCAAGAGGTTTTGTAAGAGGCGGGAGTCCAAAGACAACTTATCACAGACATCGGAAGGAGACAGTCATCATTTTTGGCCATGTGATGAGAAGAAGGAAAATAGAACATGTTGTGACCACTGGAAAGATCTGTGAAAGGAGGGATAAAGGAAGACAACGAAAGAAGATGCTTGACAGTCTTGTTGCATGGCATGGAGGTGTGTCAGGACACGAACTGATACATGCTGCAGGAGATCGCAGATTGCGGAGAGGCATTATTGCCCACGCCAGTCGGCAAGGAACCTGATGATGATATGTGTATGAATGTATACGTGCACACATGCACGTGTGTGTGAGTTTGCATATGTGTTAAGTCATTGTCAGTCATCAGGTCATTTACAGAACATCACTCTGGTCACAGCAAGCCTGAAAGTCTTTCTGTCTCTAGCCAGTTCTTCATCCCTATGTGCGTTCATAACCAATTTATCTTCACTGTTTTGTATCCACCTGCATGAGGTCAGCCCCTACCTTATTTTCTGGAAACTATACCTTCCACATGTATCATTTTACGCACCAGAAATAATATACCTTACATATCTATATAAGCATAAGCATGTATAGTATGTATATTTGAATTAATTCAGTCACATACATGTGTATTTTTAAGCATATGTATGTATTTGAGGACAGTAAATATTTGCATGAATGTGTAAACATCATGTGTTTATACCTCTTCTAAGCCTTTTCCTAATTGCCCCCACCTGCAGTAAGTGCTCCCGAAACAACACTCCTCGTGCTGGTATTATTAATGCCCTCCGAGAAATGGGAAGGGTGGAGGACTTTGGGGGCAGTAAATCCACATCACTTGCCAGAATGACAGACTTGGGAGTTAAGATCGGGACTGCAAAAAATGAGATGCACACTAGGCAAATCAGAGGACTTGTCAATCAACATAGAACTGGTACTATTAGCCATCGGATGCTGGGGTTCATACTGAGTGGACGATCTGAGCACTCTTCACATACTTGAATCTATTACAAAACATTTTTTTTCTTCAGGTGACTTTTTGGCAACCAAATATGAGAAACAACTGGAGGTTTTATTTAGAGGCGGCCCCAACAAAAGTTTAAAGTCCTACCTTCGGAATTCCCAGTGGCCAGCAGAGAGTGGCCGCCGCTTGCATCTCTGGGAACAGCTGTGCTATCACCTTGCTTCAGGCTGACGAGAACTTGTATCATAAACTTGTAGAGGACATGCGTTCTGAAGATGGTAGGTGTTTTATTAGTCAATTTGTGGGTGAAGTTTATGAAATAGTTTCTCTCTCTCAGGAAAGTGGCTGATGGACTGGTTTCTTTGGGAGGTCTGATTTTTGCACATGATTGTTAGTAATCTTGGACGGTCTAGATTAGTGTTTCCCAGTGTGGGGCCCACACCTCACAGGGTGTAGTTTGATTGTTAAGGGAGCAGTTTGCTTGTTTAGGGAGTAGTTTGATTGTTATGGGAGTAGTTTGATTGTTAAGGGAGCAGTTTGATTGTTAAGGGAGCAGTTTGATTGTTAAGGGAGCAGTTTGATTGTTAAGGGAGCAGTTTGATTGTTAAGGGAGCAGTTTGATTGTTAAGGGAGCAGTTTGATTGTTAAGGAGCAGTTTGATTGTTAAGGGAGCAGTTTGATGAAGGGAGCAGTTTGATTGTTAGGGAGCATTTGATTGTTAAGGGAAGGGCAGTTTGATTGTTAAGGGAGCAGTTTGATTGTTAAGGGAGCAGTTTGATTGTTAAGGGAGCAGTTTGATTGTTAAGGGTGCAGTTTGATTGTTAAGGGAGCAGTTTGATTGTTAAGGGAGCAGTTTGATTGTTAAGGGAGCAGTTTGATTGTTAAGGGAGCAGTTTGATTGTTAAGGGTGCAGTTTGAAGGAGCAGTTTGTTAGTTTGATTGGTTAAGGGGAGCAAGTTTTGATTGTTAAGGGAGCAGTTTGATTGTTAAGGGAGCAGTTTAATTGTTAAGGGAGCAGTTTGATTGTTAAGGGAGCAGTTTGATTGTTAAGGGAGCAGTTTGATTGTTAAGTCAGCAGTTTGATTGTTAAGGGAGCAGTTTGATTGTTAAGGGAGCAGTTTGATTGTTAAAGAGGAGGGGGCAATTTGATTGTTTGGGTTGGGGGGGGGGGGGGGTGTTATTCAGAAATGGGTTCCTCCAGGGTTTAATTGTTATTTATATGTTACCTAGGTGGCATAAGAGTTTTAGAAAGCTCAGGTAGGACACACACAAATGTTGGAAAACAATGGTCTAGACCAGTGATTCCCAAACTGTGTAGGGCTCTTTGGAGAGCCGCGACCTCTTCACAGGGGCGCCCCTAAATATTCAAAGATACACTAGTTTTAATTTTTTTTAACTCTTACAAACAAATAGTCATACTTTTACTTAGGTTAGGGCGCCGTGAAAACATTTAAACTGGAAAAAAAAAAGGCGCCGCGACTAAGAAAAGTTTGGGAAACACTGGTCTAGACTCTGGTTTTCACAGTTTTGTGTTTTAAATTCCATGTTGTTATGTAGGGACTAGCTTTGTTTCTGATTGACAAGATATGTTAATTGTAGCCAAGGTGAGAAACATGATTTTATTAATTTTAGCCAAAATAAGACACATAGTTTGTTCAGCGTTTGCTAAGACAAGTATGTTACTTTGTACTTAGACCTAAACAAGGTTAATTCAATTCTTACATTTAATGTCTTGACTACCAGCAATCAAATAATATGTCCTCTTAAATTTTGAATTCAGTCAGAAGATATTTTAAAAAGCTGGATTCTCCCCAGTGATCTCTTTTCCTGTGTGTTTAGGCTTGTTAAAGGTTTTGTACATTGTCATTGTTTTTGGTGGTCATTTGTACCCTTTAGACATGTGCTGCAGCAGAATCTTTTCTGCTGAAAGGGTTTACATGTGTCAAATATACATGCATTTTCGCCCTTGTCTGGGAAGGCCATAAGTCTGGTCTTTGGGGTGGGGATTGATTTGATTTGAATTGATTTGAGAACCGACATCACAGCACTTGGGGCATTCCCATAAGCGCTTCGCCCTCATCTTCAGCAGCCAGCAAAGAGTTCCGATACTAATGGTACCAGTAGCATTCTGATTAAACGTCTGTCTTGCTTTTCCTCTGAGCCTCGAGCATCTGCCAGAACCTCTTGTCATTTCCCCCTACATTAATCTCACCAGACTGTGGTGATCCATCTGCTCCTCCGAACTGTACATGCTTTCCCACAAGGCACTAACCACGTCTGCCTTATCATGTATCAGTATTCCATCAAGTTGTGCAGAGCCAGCCAGTCTGTCCACCTGTTTATTTCCCAACACACCCGCATGCTTCGGTGAAAAAATCTAGACAATACTCCTCACCCGTGTCCTCCGCAGCGAAGCATGCCACTCTGCACAAAGCATACCTGTCCTGACCTTCCTCAGCATGCTTTCTGAGTCAGTTACAATCACAATGTGTGTGTGTGTGTGTGTGTGTCTGTGTTCTCTAGCTAGCAGAAAGCTGCAGTGACCGCCTCCACCTCCATTCTTAAGCTGGATGTTGTGGTATCATATGCTTGATATTTAATTCTGAAGTAATGCACCTAATGAAATACAGTGAAATAGGCAAGCAGTGAGTTGTGCAGTGTATTCTTTCTATCAGCATTATTTAAATTTCATCATCATCCCATAACACTGTGTGTCGTTGGGTCACCAGTTGCTGTTGACTGTCGGATGTGCTCCCTCCACCTTTGATGGTCAGAAGTGATAGACTTCATGGTTGTATGCCTAATGCCTGTCCAGTCAGTCAAGTTCTGAATCCAGGTCTTTTTTTGTCTACCTCTTCTCCCTTTTCCCTGCTGAGCCCTGTAGTATTGTTGTTGAGAGGCCGTTTGATCTTATTACATATCTGTACCATTGCATTTTCCATCTTTTCACTGTAGTAAAAAGATGTTCATTTGAATTTACAATGGAAAAACATTGTTTTGAGTATTTGTGATTTTGTTGTCTCTATTTATGATTGTTCTCTTTATTTTCAGATGAGTGGGGTTCAACATTGCCTTCCTTTGTTGAACCAGAAAGCATTCTTGCGTACTTTCTAACCGCTCCAGGGCTGGAGCATGTCAGCAATATATTATGCCTTCTGAACCACCTGCACCCAGACATCACTTTCTGTCCATTGCTGTATCCCATGGCCTGCCTGTTCCTACATTACATGCCACCTCAAGCTTGCTTCAACTGCCTGCAGGCTTTACTCCACAGCAACAGATCTTGCTACTTTCACGCAGACATACATCAAGACACAGGCCTGCAAGTATGTCCTCAGAGATTTGGCAAGAAAATATGCTGTGAGTATACTCGTAAATTTCCAGTTATAGTCATGTTACTGTGATTTGTCTTTTTTTGATTGTTCTTAGATAAATATCAGGAACAGACAATACATTGCTAAGTTTATTGCCAGGCATATTCCGCTGTAGTTTCCGTGGTGTAGAGGTTAGATGCTCGCCTGCGGATTGGAAGGTTAAGGGTTTGAGTCCTGGCGGAGCTTTTTTTTATTTTTTGGGGGGGAAATATTTTTAAAATGACTTTGACTCCCAAATTGACCCAGCCTTGAGTGCGTACCAGGTGCAGTCATGGGAAGTAAAGACGGCCGGCGTGATGATGACCACGTCAGCCTCCAAGTGCCGATTGGTCTATAAAATATAGGTCTAGCCCTATATGCACAATAAGCATGAAGGCCTGGAAAAGGGTCCTTTACCATTTTTATTCTGTTGTACCTCGTCTGGTTCATTACTAAAGAGTTACGTAAACATATAATGAAGTAACAAAAATTGAATAAATTCCACTGAAATACAAATGGTCTCTGTGGATACATTGTTCGTCTGATCGCTAGAAGTTCATGACAGCCGCGTGACTTTCCAGGATAACTTCAAATAAATTCCTTCTGTTTACACCTGGGGGAAGGGGGAAATGGTGTATTTTTTAACACCAGTCAGATAGTTGCGGTTCCAACTTCATAGCAAATGCGTCAACCCATAGTTGCTCTTGATTCACTGGAATTTGTTGGTTCTATTCAACAACAAAAAACAGAAAGAAAAATGTGTTTACTGCCTGAAGATTCTACTTTTAAGAGTAGTGTAAGACTGGGGATCATAAGCCTGAGGATTTAGGGCTTTAGGTTTTATGACTGTAGCAATTATCATGAACTGTGCTGTGGCGCGGTGATTTATGTCACAGGCGTGAGGGGAAGTTAAGTCCAACATGATGTGTATAAGGAGATACTCCGTACGTCACTCGGGCGCCAGTCCTCCACTATCCTGGTTGTACGGATCCTCACGCAAGACCCCTACAGCACGTCCTCGTCGTGCGCCACGGATAATGTCTCAAATGAGCATTAACGGAGCTGTCAGGGGATCTCGGAGTTTGGCGGCCCCCAGAGGTGATGTGTCCTTGTGACTCTCATCAGCCCGCCCCAAACGCTTGGGTGAAAATGTTATCAAAACTCATTAGGAACATGAGTAGGGTTGAGAAACATACAGCTAAAATTACAACCCTTGGTTTCAAAAGACTGCTGAGTAAAGAGAACACTGCTCACTGCACATCCTCTGTTAATTCTCAGTGTCGTCGTCACCGCGCTGAGGGGCAACACAACAGCAACCATCCATGGGCTGGCCATCCTTGTGCATCCCCGGTTGGCCCTCAGTGTCGTCGTCACCGCGCTGAGGGTGCACCACAACAACAACCATCCATAGGCTGCCATTCACGTACATCCTCGGTTAACCCTCAGTGTCGTCGTCACCGCGCCTGGGGTACACCACAACAGCAACCATCCATCAAATGGCTAAGCCTAAATGTCCGACAAAGTGTAGATCATACGGATCAAAATCTGACCATCAAATTTTGCACTGAACTGAAAGAGACCGAATACTCACACCCAAAGACCTCACTCGCCCGAGTGTTGGGAAAAACTGGACAACGATATGCCTGATTCAGGATGTGAAATTCTGTCGGGCTAATGTACCTATCTGTGTGGTCACAAAAGTCCAAAACCCAAAGGCTGCTCCCCGCTGACTTTCAGAGGGCGCAGCCCCTGTCGAGCGGGAGGCCTGATACGGTTGTGAGGTTAAGCAGGCATGTGCAGGACGTGACGATTCCTTGGGTGAGCCCAGAAACAGAGCGATATGTGCCGGCTCTGCATGCATGGAAGCCTCCTTGGATGGCGGGGAATGCCCATGATCTGCCCCTGCCTTCCCTTGAGGGCCAACTGTTCCACAGGGGGCTGCCCCAAAGGGGTACTCCGGGGGCAATACCTGCGGCGAAGGCGACAAAATGGACACCACACAAATCAGGCAACGTCTCGACCCACACAAAACAATGGCCACAGTCACCCTAGAAATAGGCCTGACGTCTTCCTTCGAAGTCGGCGTACAGCTGCCCAAGAGGCAGGGAAATGAAAAACGGTTGTACACGCAAAAATCAGGTCCAGGTGAAAGCCAAAAGTCCAAGCGGACGATTAACCGGGACCTTCCACTGGAGTTCACAGCCGGTGTTCGAGGAAAAAAAAAAAAAAAAAAAATGAACTGTGCATGTTAGGAATTTATTTTTGCCCTTGACAGAAAAAAATCCACCACCTTACTAAGGATTTAAACCTGGGAAACTGAAATGAGAGCTTAGAGTTCTTAAACACTCAGCCAGCCCCTTCTCAAGAATACTGTAGATCAATATAAATATGTGTATTTTCACAATAGACAGTATAATTCCAGAAAAGAAAACTGTTACCATAAAAAGTGTATATTTTCGAAGACAGGCCTATGATAAAAAAGTGTATATTTTCAGAGACAGGCCCATGATAAAAAGTGTATATTTTTAGAGACAGGCCCACAATAAAAAAGTATATTTCAGAGACAGGCTCATGATTAAAAAAGTGTATATTTTCAGACAGGTCCATGATGAAAAAGTGTATGTTTTCAGAGACAGGCCTATGATAAAAAGTGTATATTTTCAAAGACAGGCCCATGATAAAAAGTGTATATTTTCAGACAGACCCATGATAAAAGTATATATTTTCAGAGATAAACCCATGATAAAAAGTGTATATTTTAACGGACAGGCCCATGATAAAAAGTATATATTTTCAGAGACAGGCCCATGATCTGATGGCCCAGGGTGGGAGGAAGGTGGAGGACATCTTTGACAGCTGGATGTGGTGGATCTTCAGAGACCTGCCATTTCAGTACTTGGTTAGTGTTGTGACTTGTTTACTGTACACCCTGCTTGTTTGGTCAGCATGTAACTCAACTTTCATCTGTGTTTGTTCACTTGTTTTCCCTGTGTGGTTTCTGAGGTCTCATTTTGAGAGAGGAGGGATAAAAAGACCCATGACCCTACTAATAACCATCTCCTTCTCTTCTTCTTTACTTCCAACTTCCACTTGCTGACCCTTGTTACATGAATGTACTGATATGTGCTTGTTTCTTCATTTCTTCTTTACTTCCACTTGCTGACCCTTGTTACATGAATGTACTGATATGTGCTTGTTACTTCATTTCTTCTTTACTTCCACTTGCTGACCCCTGTTTCATGAATGTGCTGATATGTGCTTGTTACTTCATTTCTTCTTTACTTCCACTTGCTGACCCCTGTTTCATGAATGTGCTGATATGTGCTTGTTACTTCATTTCTTCTTTACTTCCACTTGCTGACCCTTGTTACATGAATGTACTGATATGCGCTTGTTACTTCATTTCTTCTTTACTTCTACTTGCTGACCCCTGTTACATGAATGTGCTGATATGTGCTTGTTACTACTGTAACAAGCATTTACTGATGATAAAGACTGCTGTACTTCACTTCTCTCACCCATGTACATAAATATGCTAATTTTTGCTAATTTCTTTTGTACTTCTGCTGCTCTCATTGTTGTTGCATGAATGTTCTGTTTTGCTTGTTTCTTTATGTCTTCTGTACTTCCACCACCATCATCCCTGTTGCATGAATGTACTGATATTTTGCTTGTTTTCCCTCCCAATAGGTGAGAATTGTTGACAGTTTCTTGTTGGAAGGATACAAGATTTTCTACAGGATATCCTTGGCTATTGTTATCCTCTTTGCTAAAGGATATAGTAAGTTTTAGAGTGACTTTTGTTTCAATGACTTGTAAATTATGTGGTTGCTTTGGCTTAGAGTTCATAATCAGTTGATTATAGACAATCTGTTTAAAGTGAAAAGAAGAAGAAGAAGAAGATGAAAACAGACTTCTATATACAAAACAGTCATTGAGTTTTCACAATTAACTCTATCCAAAGTTACTTTTCTTTCAAAAACATTTTCACTTTAGCTGTTAATAGAAAAATAAAAAATAGTGTTTTTCATTGATAAAGCCATCAGATGTGTTGGCTGCGACATATTGCATTATTTTAATTAATCTTCACACAGATAAAACTGGAAGTGACAAGTCTTCAGTGAAGGATTTCAGTGCTGACATATCCAGCTTCTGTAGAAACATCTCTGTGGCTCCCCGGAAACTGATTCAGGTATAAAGTTTGCATGTGAATCTAAGAGCCCAGTGTCTTTTCTTTAATGGTGCCTCATACCCACTGATGGTCATGTCACAGAGTTTTGAGGTATTTTATAGGGCTAGTGCTCCACCAACTAACTCCCCTCCTCTCAATGACCACCACCTGTGTTAGTCCATGGCCGCTTGTTCAGTATATTTGCAGCTAACTTATATGTCTAGAGACCGCTTCATCATCTGCACCTGGCAGACACGCCTAGTAGTAGGACAGGCTTTATTTTAACTCTTCAAAAACAATATTTAAACATGTAAATAAGTAAAGAAATACCTGTAGAACCACATTGCTTTAAACAGATGTATCTCTGTATCTCCTGTATTCTTCCACTAATGTAAATGGGATGTGATTGATCAATCTTAGACCAGTTGCTGGACATTATGTGGAGAATTAGACTTTCTTATCTTCCTGTATGTATCTTTGTTTCTATCCACAGTATAAACATGTTGTGATTAGTCATTCTTTGTTCCTGTTATTGTCCGAGACATAATTTTCTTTTGAAAACTGTGTGTGTTTCTGTAAAAGTACAGGTAGAGGACACTATTTTACTCTACAAGGTGCGTATTATTATATATGTTGCCATTTCCATATATGTATACCAATCTGCAGTTAATTGGTGATGTGTTCAGTATCATGCAAGCTACTTTTACTTTCCAGAAAATTTCTTGGTACTTGTAGACCTAGGAAGGTTAAAGTCAAGAGGATCGACTGTGTTGCACCCGTTTTATTCCATATGCCTTGGTCTCTCTCCTCAGAACAGCTAGCTGCCTACTGAGAGCATTACACAAAGTAGGAACACTAGCTGTGGCTACGATCCCCAGGGATCTTCGTAAAACTTGCACCAATGAACCGAAAATGCAGGCATGAAATGAACCAACAACCTTGAGAGGTAAACAGTTTTGACCACTTTGCCATGGACTCCAGGTGGACCTAGAGCGAAAGTTATTGATAGCCACTGACTAACTGGCAAAACCAAGCATGAGAAGCACATTGGACATACAAGAAGTCTTGTTAACCAGCATAGAACTGGCACTGTTAACCACACAACACTGTTGAATGTGTTGAAGGGGGAATCTGGGCACGTGTGGATGTGTCCAGAGTGCTGTGAAGATAATCTAGCTCATAACTCATAGCTACTGATGCTGCTACATCTCCTGTTCATCTGAATGTTCAGTTATAAGCTTTTCTTCCTAACAACCAGGTTGCCTTTGGAATCCGAGGTCTGAGCCGCAGAGAAATAGCCAAACTTCACGAGAAGAATGAGGCCCTTGTCTCCTCTTTGCCTACACGAAAATACAGTTCAAAAGTGAGATTAAAGGAGACAGTTCCTTCAGCGATTCTCACCGCTGATATGGTGAGTGAAGATACTTGTGTCGGGGTCTCTTAACCCGAACGAACTTTATTTTCAAAGGTTTGGGCACGCAGGGTCTTACATTGGCCCTTCCAGTCAACCATCTTTCGCACAGCAGTTGTATTTTCACTAATAAAGCATGTTAGATGATAATATGCATATTATGAATATTATGAAAGAACACAAAAGCACTTGTAAAGTGCTGCAAAAACCCGCGCGTGCATACATACACCCACATACACACGATCACCCACTCACACACACATACATGCATGCAAACTTACATTACATACACTACATACAACCAAATAAATTATTATTTAATTTTATATTTTAATGTTTGTTTTATTTATTTTATTTTATTGTAATGATGATAATTTTTTATTTTTTATATGATTATTTATTATGTTGTATTTTTTTTTTATTTTTTATTATGTTTTTATTTATTATTATTTTTATTTTGTTATATATTTATTTTTTTTTATTTATCATGCAAACAGACATCACACAGGCATACTACATAAACAACATACATAGATACAAACATACAGGCATACATTTATAATACATATACACACATTCAAACATACAGTCATGAATACAGTCATGCATGAGACACTCCCACAACAGACACACACGCTCACTTAGACAAAAATACAGACACAGACTCTTACATATAAACACACACAGGAAAACCAGCACACATATTTGCATTCGTGCTCACACACTTACACACACACCACACACACACACGCAGACAAACATGCAGACACATACATACAGCCACACACGCAGTCAAACACACACACACACACAAATACAAACAGGCAGACAAACACATTCTGACACCCACACAGACAAACACGCAGAAATGCATACACATACAAACACATAGAAATACACACGCAGACACATATATTCAGCACACACAGACATATACTCTGACATGCAGACACATACAGTGGGGAAAAGAAGAATAGACCCCCTGTCTCCCCAACAAGCTTGTAGTTAGAGTCGACTAACTTGAAGGCATCCTTCAAAGTTAGAGTGCATCTGCCTGAGAGGCATACAAATAAGCAGGATCTGTAAAACGGATATACATGCAAAACTCTGGTATGGAACAAAACCAAAGTCCGTAAATGGACGAACAACCAGGTCTTTCCACAGGGGTTTACAGATGGTGATCGCAAACAAACAACAGTAACAACTGGTATCACAAGAAACTGGTGTTTGCACATTACCTGATTTTTAAATCTTTCAGGCCCAGGAAGATATTATTTAAACTAATTCTTCTTCTGTGTTTCCATCAGAAGAATAGATGGTACAGTTTGTTGTGGTTTACAATGGCTGCAGTATCTGTGCCTTTCAGTGGAACACATCCAGTCTTTGTTAAACCCTTGTTAATCACCTCTTACAACATGTGGTTCTTTATTAATATCCTACCCCAATGACGTCACAGGACAGTCCAAAATTTTAGAGGGTGGTAGGACCGGGTTTCCCGGCTTTCTGATGTTTTTAACGACTCCGAAACATCTAGAACTAGCCCTAACCTCAACCCACCTAGGTCCCACGAGAGAGTACAGCCTAGGTCCCACGACTGCATGCAGCCTAGGTCCCATGACTGCATGCTGCCTATCTACCACCCTCTGAAATATTAGACTGTCCTTTGACCTGTGGATATCCCCTGGGGTAGGGTATTAATAAAGCACCCAACACGCTTTGCTAGGAGGCACTGAGTCTATCCCCCCCCCCCCTCACCTCTTTCCTCCCCTGCTGAAAGAAATGGGGCTCTGGGAGCAGGCTACTGCAACAAGCTGCTTTATTGTAAATAGTTTTTGTGTCTTAACAAGTCCAAACAATAACCCTTTTGGACATATTGTTTAAAGGGATATTTTGTTATGATGTGGATTAATGTATTAACTGGAGAAGGTATGAGGAATGTACAGGGCTGATAACAAACAAAAAAAGCCAAAAAACACATGGAGTAGGGAGCTGTAGAATGGTTAGAAAGATGGGGAGGACATGAGGAAAGCTGCATGCGATAGCGAAGGATAGAACTACTTGGCGTGAGTTGGTTGAGGGCCTGTGCTCCATTGGGGGCTAGAAAGGCAGAAGAAGAAGACTGTTTATGTGACCAGGCTTATGCAAAGCACTGTTTGACTACAACTTATCCATGCTTTCTCCAGTTACAACAAATCTGGCAGTGGATACCTACAAGGCTCAGTTTAATGAAACCCAAGCTACTGTTCTCATCCGATGAGGATGGTACTGCAATCCGTACCTTGTACACACGGACAGAATATGCTGATCAAACCATATTGGCTGTCAAGACAACAAACAACGAGGTAGGTCATTCATGCCTTCATTAATCAGATTATCATTACCTTATTCTTCTCTCACTGCTGGCATTTGCTGCAGTGCTTTAGCTAATGGTTAAGTTGATAAATGAAAAATTATGTGGAAGCAGCGGACATTTGGTTTTTATGGATGAAGGATAAGAACACACCGGACAGATAAAAAGAGTAATGAAGATATCTTGAAAGAAATTGACCCAAGAAGAGAACTGACTGCCCAAATCAGAAGGAGACAGTCTGTATACTTTGGTCATGTCATGAGGAGAAGTCTGGTTGGAGTACACTGTGAAGGTACGAAAGTTAGAGGGAAAAGAGGTAGAAGGATACCAAGAAAGAAAATACTGGACATCACAGCATGGAGGATCATATGTGTTGGAGTTGACTGTATTGAAAGTACATAAAACAGGTGCCACATGGCATGGACTATAAGAACAAGAAGCATTTACTTAAATCGCCTGAATTGATGGAGCAAAAATTGCCAGCAGTAAGTTAATTTAATTACGAAAATATAAGAGCTAATTCTCTGTGTGCGTTTGGGGGTACCACTGTAAAAAGTTACAAGTAAAGGTCCCTTTTCCTTGCCTTTAGGTGTAAAGGGCATATAGGGCTAGACCTATATTTTTATAGGCCAATCGGCACAAAATGGGTGATGTGGTGAGCATTGTGCCGGCCACCTTTACTTCCCTGGACTGCACCCAGTACCCACTAAAGGCTAGGTTGACCTGGGAATCAACGTCATTTTTGAAATGTGAAAATAGACCGGCTTCCCCCAGGGAGCGAACCTACGACCTTCCGATCTGCATGTAAGGTCAAGCCAGCGTAAAATGGGCACCAGGTGAACCCCCTCCCCCCCCCCCCCCCCCCCCCCCAAAAAAAAACTTTTAACTTACTTTTCCTTATTACTGGGAAGTGGCTGCCTTATTTTGCAATCACTGTTGACAAATTCTGGAAGGAATTTCTCTGATGGCTGAACATCCATTAGTAATTATCTTGCTTCTAGAGTACAAATTGTCAGCTGAATGGTAGATAATTTTATTTTGATGCTACTTACTATGAAGGGGGTTTGTGGCTTAGGAGTGGATCAACTTTCTTCACAGTCCATGATGTACCAGAGTGGTTTTCTTTGTAAGTATTTAAAGACCATTCTGGCATACACTGGCAATAACTAGTTATTTAGTTGGGTTATCATCATTGCACTCCGGTCGTGTCCATGGGAGGCTCAGATCCTCCCCTTAGTATGAACTCCGGCATCCAGTGGCTAATAGTACCACTTCTGTGTTGATTAATAAGCCCTCTGGTGTACGTCTCATGTTTTGGTACATTGATCTTAACTCCCAAGTTTATCATTCTGGCGAGTGATGTGGATTAATTGTCCCCCAAAGTCCTCGACCCTTTCCATTTCTCGGAAGGCATTAATAATATCAGCATGATCCATAGCTTGACCATCGGTAGTGATAGTGGGTCCAGCCAACCTATCAGCTTTTTCATTTCCATTGACCTCTGCCTGTCCCAGAATTTAAAAAAAGGTGACTCCACACACAGTGGACTTCTGTAATGTGACTCCACACACAGTGGACTTCTGTAATGTGACTCCACACACAGTGGACTTCTGTAATGTGACTCCACACACAGTGGACTTCTGTAATGTGACTCCACACACAGTGGACTTCTGTAATGTGACTCCACACACAGTGGACTTCTGTAATGACTCAAGCCATTACCTTATCACTGAACCTGTCTGAACGCTCCGGATGATACTCATTGAATCACTGAGTACACATGTAGTGTAGTTTTGTGTTTCGAGCCACAGGAATGCTTGCGCTACTGCCATGACCTCCATCATCATGCTGTTGGTTGTCATGGAGAAGGCGCAGTTGGCTTCTTTGACTTCTTTGACACAGAGCATGCTGTGAACAACCATGCACTTCTTTGTTGGCGTATAATGGATCCGTCTGTGTAGATCATTACATCTTCCTTGTCTGAATTTTCACGGATGAGAGCGTTGACTCTGCATTGGCAGCGACAGGATTCTGCTCCCGGCATCACTTATCAGGTGTGGCAGTACAGGAAAATGTACAGATAAATGCATGAGACATGGCTATCCACTCCTCATCAGGGGGTGATGTCTGTAAGGCTGCATGTATGTTGGCAATAGTAAACAATGATGTGATAGTTGTGCATTGCATTCACACAGTATTCTTCTATAAGGTTTTTAGTCCCTGAATGGGTTCCGGGGTCACATTGGGGGGGGGGGGGGGGAAGCGAAAAAGAATAGACTCAACGCTTCCCCAACAGGTATGTTGTAATAGTCAACAAATTGGGGGTTTTGTTTGAAGTCGAAGTGCATCTAATTGACAGGCAGGAACTAACGATCTGCATTTAAATTACTCGGATCTGTCAAATGGGTATGCACACGAGTTTTAATTCTATTAGTTTATTGTTCTTCATTAAAAAGCGGTTTAACTGGCAAGAAAGGGAGGAGGTTGTGAGCAAAGAAGATAGTAATCTCATACTCTAAGAAAATGTTTGAGTAGTCTAGGCCAACAGAAAGTTACAAAACCAATCCAGTGTGAGGTTACCCTACTCTACCCCAGTACGGGACATAAAAGAACTAAATAAACAGTTGCGTAGACCTCATATTTCTGCTTCATAATATGCATATCTGGGCTAAGCAAACAGATATGTGAGCGTGTTTTGCAGAATTATTCCCTGTACAGTGAATCATGAAAGTTATATTAAACCAACATTAAACTCTTTGTCAAAGTTTTTCAGCAGAATGTGTCTGCTGATGTAGTCGTTAAAAATATTAGTTGTAAGAATAGGGATATGGGACTTAGGTTAGGATGTTGGGGAGTGTCTAATGACTTCGTGAAACAGCATCAGCTTCTTCAAAATAACAAATGACAGAGGACTGGCAAGTCGCAGGCACCCACACACAAAAAAAGGAGGTTGATTTTTGGTAACATGTGAAAAATGATATGGAAAAGAACTGGGTATTCTACAAATATTTTGGCCAAACAAGATCACAAATGAAGAAATGAGGAGGAAAACAGAATGTGCATCACTGGCAAATGTTATCAAAGTAAGATGATGGAGGTGGCTTGGACATGTTTGCAGAATACCTTGTGACACTGGCAAAAACAGCTCTCCTGTGGACAGCAGATGGGAAAAGGAGATGTGGACGACCTAAGGAAACCTGGAGAAGGACAATAGAACAGGAAATGAAGGAATGTAAACTGACATGGGATACCATGGGCAAAAAAGCAGCAGACTGGCAGCAATGGAGATCACCTGTGAATGTCTTATATGTCAACAGCGACATGAAGAGGATATAGAAAGATTCCGCCTCATTGTACCGTGATCTTGTATGTGTGAAATTCTGTCACTTAACATCCCCAGCACAGCAGTAACTTTTCACTTATTGTTTAACATTGTCTCACCCCCAGATCTTTGGAGCATTTTGCTCTACATCTTGGTACACTAGACATGAAAAGAACAAACCAAAAACATCCTTCTTTGGCACAGGAGAGACATTTGTGTTCACGATTGTACCAGATGTGAAACGATACCCATGGACTGGATTGTTGGAGAATCCACCGAATCAGACTGCAGATCTGTTCATGGCTGGGGATGATCACATGCTGATGATTGGCAGTGGGTATGTTGTCTTTGTTTGTTGTTTGTGAAGCATCTAGGCAGTACTACTTCTTCTTCTTGTCTTCTTTTTCTTCTTCTTCTTTTCTAGTCCTGTTCTGCCTCTCAGCGTCAGGTTTGGAAGAAGCATAGAGTGCAAGCCTTGCTATGTGCTGTATAGACGCTAGTATCTATGACCTCGGACATTCCATCTATCCATCGCTTGTGTGGCTGACCTCTAGTTCTGCTTCCATTATATTTAAATGACAGGGGTCTGTGAGGGCACTGTCTAATGGTAGACTTTATGGTCTTCAGGCAGGCACTGTTAAGGACAAGGAGTATCATTATCTTTGTTAAAGTTGTGGAGTATTTGGGTACTATTACTGCTGGTTAATAATTCATTGTAGTACTAAAGTTAAAGTAGGAATAAACTGAATATGTAAAGGAGGAAGAAGTCATAAATAAAAATAAAATAGAAAAGAAAAGAAAAAAGTGAACGAACTCAGCCATATTTTTGTTCTTATGTTTGTAAGTTAGTAATTGGATAGAATAATAACTATTAAATGTGTAACAGGAATGGAACAGCCATTTACCTGGATGGCATGATGAACAGAGGGAGCTCAACACATTCTGACACATTTAACAACCATCCTTTGTGTTCGACTTCAGATTTTAGGTGAGTCTGGCATTTTATTTGTTTACTCTTGTATTGATGTCGGCTAATTAAATTAGTGACAAACAATGTTTGCCTGCCTCACACTTCAAAGGTCATGGGTTTGATATCATACTTATCCCCCCCCCCCCCCTATGGGATCCGAGACCCCATTTTGGGAGGAAAGAGAGTAGACTCACTGCTCCCTAACCATGACGTCGTAAAAAAGTGATGAAGAGTTTTATTCAAACTTAGAGTGTATCTGAGAGGCAACAGTCTACATACAAAGAAGCCAGATCTGTAAAAGGGATGTGCACACAAAACTCAAGTTCTGGGACAAGACTAAAAACCAGAAGTGGACAAATCATGAGAACTTTCCACCAGAGTTTACAGCCGGTGAAAATTAAAAAGAAGAAGATATCATATTCCATCTTTCAGTTTGCAAGTGCAGCTGTTTCAGAGATTATTGGTTGTGTCACATGATACAGATCCTGTATCACATGAACTTCAGATTTTTATTCTTTAAGTAATGTTCTTAGTGGCTTAAAAGTCATGCTACACCACTGGTTTTCAGCCTAGGGAGGTGGAAGGGGGGGGGGGGGGGCGAGAACAAGGATGTGTCAAGGGGACCTTAAGCAGATTTGAAACTGTGTGCATTTGTACTTGTAATAATTTGTGTTACTAACACTTTTTTTTTAATGGAGAACATTTTCTTATTTATTTAATATTCTTTACATGAGTCCTATTGTTTTGATTACACATTTCGATGTGTGTCCTCTCCTCTCTAAGAACATGTGTAAGCACACCTGGGGTTATGCTTAAATAAAGTGATGTATTTATTTTTCCTATGAATGGAAGCTTATGGGACACCCTGTATTTTCTATCTTTTAGGGTTTTTGTATATCTCTTCCCCTGTCTGTTTCTGTAAAAGGACATTCTAGTAATGCTGTTATAAAGTTTTCTCAGTTTATCCTATTTGAGGCCAGTATCTATTCCTCATTTTCTGATTCTCTGGAATTATTTGAGTTTTCTTCATAAGTTCATAATTAATTATTGTAGCAAATGATTTTAAATCGGAGTGCATCTGCCTGAGAGACAAAGAATCAACAGTCTGCATACAAATTAGTTTGATCTTTAAAACTGATGTACACAATACACAGGTTCTGGAACAGAGGTAGACACATACACAGAACCTTCAGCTGGAGTTTACAGCCGGTGAATAGAAAGAAGAAGAATGTTTAAGTCAGCACAGTCACCAGTTATTTATTCTAGCATTTATTGATGATTCAGTGATAAGTTTTCTCAGTGTGTTTTTTAAATTTTATTTCAGTTGTAATGTGGTGGAAGTGTTTGGGTTCATTGAGTGATTCTCTGTTAATTACACAAGTAGCCGATGCAGCATGTTGAGAAATGCTTCAACACAGAATGTGAGGACAACAAAAATAAACCTGATGCATCATCATCAGTATATCTATGTTCACAGACAAAGAACTACATATGAACCTGTTCGTCTGCTGTGTCTGGATGCAGGGACATAATACTAAATGTGAAAATGATTATATACTGTGTCTGCGTTCAGATACAAAGTTCTAAACATGATTTTTCACTGTGTCAGCCCCAAAAATAATCTTTTTTGGTGAGATACAGGAAGATGGACGCTCTCATGGTGGCCAAACATGAACAAACGCTTGAAGGACACACTAAAGGCTTTAATATAGACCCTGACTCTTGGAAGACAGCTGCGCAAGACCAGACTACATGGCAAATGCCAATTCAAAGATGGGCAGCGACCTGTGAGGCTTCTAGATCAAGGGCAGCTTAACAGCCCAGGCAGGCTAGAAAAGACTCATGTCATGTACTTTATTTACAGAAACTGTAACTTCCCCTACAAATGATTCTGATGTTTTTATTGTGTCTGCATTCAGAGACAAAGTGCTAAATATTAATCTGATCTTTCATTTTGTCTGTGTTCATAGACAAAGTACTTCTTCTTCTTCTTCTGCGTTCGACATCAGTCATGCTAAACATTGAGTCCCGTCTGGGTCACAAATAGGATTGTGCGTTTAAGGTCGCCACCGGTCTCCCATAGCTTCTCTCGCAATGTGGATCCCCTGGGCCAGATCCACAGTCTTAGACAAAGTACTAAACTTGGACCTGATGTTTTGCTGTGTCTGCGTTCACATCAGAGGCAGATACTAAACATGGACCTGATGTTTGGCCGTGTCTATATTCACATCAGAGGCAGATACTAAACATGGACCTGATGTTTGGCCATGTCTATGTTCACATCAGAGGCAGATACTAAACATGGACCTGATGTTTGGCCGTGTCTATGTTCACATCAGAGGCAGATAGTAAACATGGACCTGATGTTTGGCCATGTCTATGTTCACATCAGAGACAGATACTAAACATGGACCTGATATTTTGTTGTGTCTGTGTTCCCTTTAAGTAGTCTTTAAGCAATCCTTCAGTTCAATTTCCCTTTTGAGTAGTCTTACATTCACTGCAGCTCAAATTCCATACCTTTCAGTATCTATTATTGCCTACATTTTGTATAGGTACCAGCAACCCTGTAATTAATTATATTAACATTAAAGATAATGTGTAAATAGATGAATGAGTCGTTGAACTGGTTAATGAGTGAATGCTTGGTGAGTGAACCTATGTGTGATAGGTAAGTGGGTGGCTGAGTGAGCA